TCTGTGTGCGAGCCATAGCGTGCCGAAATTCTATCGTGCTCCTAGTTCTTTCACCTTAAGCTTTACGGGACTGGAATCGGAACCCTGGATAACCCTCTTGAGACAATGGCCCACATACTAGTTTAAACAACTGATGGGCCAAGTGCTGGAAGCAGCTTGGGCGCGACAGCATCGGCCTTCTTGACAAAGATTCCAGTCTGGCCAGTGGTTGCTGTGAAGATCCAGCTTGGGGCGGCAGCTCTAGGAAAGTGCTCACGACACGTTTTCCGAGAAAAAAAACGAGATGACGAAGAATTGAGGCGCCCTTGCTGCAAACTTATTTCAAAGCAACTTCTGCTTCGCATCCATGACAATGTGCTGGTTGCACAAGATGTCCACTCCAGCCTTCTCCTTGTACACCGTGGGAAGTCCCAACAGCCAGTGCTCAACCCTAAACCCTTAAAGGGGGGGGGGGGGGGGGGGTGATGCTTAGGGGGTTTCTGGCGGGTTCAGAAGTTTTTGGCCGACTTTACAAGTACGTAGTGAGTATTCATGCTGGGCGTGGGGGGGTGGGGCCTGGGGTCGTCAACCCCTAAACCCTGATTCCTAACCCTTTTCACCGAGGGCCCAAGATGCTAATGAGTCTTTATGACCAGTGGCGTAGGGAGTGAGGTTGATCAGGGTTTAGAGTTCAAGGGGTTTAGGTTGGGATGTTCCCCCATATACTAGTCTAGTCCCGAATAGGGATTAGAGTACCCCCGATTACAATCCCTGCTGAGGACTGTTAGTATAAGGGGGGAAAACATCCCAACCCTAAACCCTAAACCCTAAACCCTAAACCCTAAACCCTAAACCCTAAACCCTAAACCCTAAACCCTAAACCTCCCAAGGTTTAGGGCTTCAGAGGGAGACCTCCAGCCACGACAGTCGGGCATCCCCACACGGTCAGACACGGTTTTTAGGGTTTAGGGTTTAGGGTTAGGGTTTAGGGTTTAGGGTTTAGGGTTTAGGGTTTAGGGTTTAGGGTTTAGGGTTTAGGGTTTAGGGTTTAGGGTTTAAGGTTTAGGGTTTAGGGTTTAGGGGGAACCACTTCGGCTCAATGCCTCTGAAGGCTTGGCCAAGAATATTCTAGTACCCTAAACCCTAAACCCTAAACCCTAAACCCTAAACCCTAAACCCTCAACCCTAAATCCTAAACCCTAAACCCTACTATTAAGGACAACCCTACTATGAAGGACTGTTCGTGTAAGGGGGAACATCCCAAGCTTTAGGGTTCAACCCTGTAAGGCCCGGAGAGCCCAACTTGAAGTACTTCCCCCCCCCCCCCCCCCCCCCCCCAACAAAGATCCCTGAAACTAAAAGATCTGATTCCGCCAACGGTTAGGGATTAGGGTTTAGGGTTTAGGGTTTAGGGTTTATTGTTGAGGGTCCAAACCCTAACAAGCTTCAACTACAAGCCCTAAAACCACTCTTCATCTTTGGCACATCCCTCCAATACCCCGCTCTAGGCAGGCTGGGGAATATAAATCATTTCCCCAAGCCCTGCGTCCTAAGCCCTAAGCCCTAAACCTAAATAGGCACTAAACCCTAAACCCTAAACCCTAAACCCTAAACCCTAAACCCTAAACCCTAAACCCTAAACCCTAAACCCTAAACCCTAAACTCTAATCGTCAACCCTCAACTCTAAAACCCTGGAAGGCCTGTGAGCTGGGCTTTTGCTCAGCATTGCCTGGATGAGCTGCTTGGTGGGTCCGGTGCAGCCTGCGTTGCCAGGCTGCACTGTGTCAGCAGGGTTTAGGCTTTAGGGTTTAGGGTTTAGGGTTTAGGGTTTGGGGTTTAGGGTTTAGGGTTCAAGGTTCAGGGGTTTTATATTGTTGGGTGCAGGGCTTCGGGTCAGGAATCATGAGGTGGGGCTGTTTGAGTCCTGAGAGTTGTTGAGGTTATAGCTAGGGTCACCAGGGCTCGGCAGGCTACCCAAGGGTCATTCGGGATGTCAAAGCCACTAGGCTCATAGTAGACCCATTCGAACCACTATAGGGGCTACCCAACAACCCTAAACCCCTAAACCCCTAAACCCTAAACCCTAAACCCTAAACCCTAAACCCTAAACCCTAAACCCTAGACCCTAAACCCTCAACAAAAGCTGAGTTTCGGAGGTTGTGAGGTATCCTGTGAGAGGTCGAAGGCCTGCTGCGGGACTTGGGCATGAGCCAGTGTGGCTTAGGGTTTAGGGTTTAGGGTTTAGGGTTTAGGGTTTAGGGCTGCCAGAAGGTCGGATTCGGGTTTGCCAGGAAGTGCAGGATGAGGCTCATAAGCTCCCTCGAGCCTAAGCCCTAAACCCGAAACCTGCAAACCCTGCCAAATCCTAAACCCTCAACCCTAAACTTACCCCTAAACCCGAAACACCTAAACCCTAAACCCTAAACCCTAAACCCTAAACCCTAAACCCTAAACCCTAAACCCCCTAGAAGGGCGCTGGTCTTTGGGGGCCCAGTGGCTGGCGGAGATGGGCGTGTAGCTGCCCTTGATGATCTTGAGTGCAAGGCCTTGATTCGGGCTCTCAGGTCTCTGCCCTGATCTTGGAATAAAAAAGGGTTTAGGGTTTAGGGTGTAGGGTTTAGGGCTACTAGACCGGGGACTCTACTGCCCAGATTTCGGAATACGCCTTAACTACTGCACGGTCTGTGGTTTAGGGTTTAGGGCTGTACTCGCCAGATTGTTTTCAAGGGTACTAGCTCTGATTTAGGGATGCTCAGGTTCCTTCAGGAGAGGGATGCTGGAGATGTTGGGCGAGGTTGAGGGGCTTCTGACCCGAACTGCGAGTGTAAGCCGTTCGGAAAGGTGCCTTAAAATCCTCACAAGCCCTAAACCCTAAACCCTAAACCCTAAACCCTAAACCCTAAACCCTAAACCCTAAACCCTAAACCCTAAACCCTAAAGCCTAAACCCTAAACCCTAAACCCGAAACCAACCACCCTAAAACTTCCGATGCGGGCTGGGGTGAAGCCTTCTTGCGAGCTGGGGCCAATGAGTGCTGTCAGGACACAAAATTAACGGCAAATGGCGGCCTAGATTGAGGAGCCAGTAGTCCAGAGGCCTCAGTTCAAACTGTCTTCCTGTCGAGACGCACCTCTACGGCCAGCCTGAACCCTAAACCCTAAACCCTAAACCCTAAACCCTAAACCCTAAACCCTAAACCCTAAACCCTAAACCCTAAACCCTAAACCCTAAACCGTGGCGAGTCGGCCGGGGGCAACTGAGGCGCCTCGAAAGGACCAGGAGGGTCCTGGCTCGGCTGCGAACTCCTCCACGATTGCCGAACTGGTAGTTGTTCAGGACGAGCCGGCCGGTTTAGGGTTTAGGGTTTAGGGTTTAGGGTTTAGGGTTTAGGGTTTAGGGTTTAGGGTTTAGGGTTTAGGGTTTAGGGTTTAGGGTTTAGGGTTTAGGGTTTAGGGTTTAGGGTTTAGGGTTTAGGGTTTAGGGTTTACGGTCTAGGGTTTAGGGTTTAGGGTTTAGGGTTTAGGGTTTAGGGTTTAGGGTTGCATGTGTCGGCCAGAGAAATGTCAGAGTCGTCAAAGTTGAAACATGTGTCCAGGTTGAAGGTTTAGACTACTGAACCCTCATACCCTGTACCCAAACCCCTTAAACCCTAAAGCCCCAAGCCTCGAAAAGACCCTGACGCCCTAAACCCCTAAACACTAAACCAGCAAACCCCTAAGCCCTAAACCATCAAACCAGAAACCCTAAACCCTAGCCACCAAACCACAAAACCCTCAACCCTAACCACCAAACCACCCAGTCACAAAACCACCAAACCTTAAACCCTAAACCCTAAGCCCGAAACCCTAAACCCTAAACCCTAAACCCTAAGCCCTAAGCCCTAAACCACCCAAGCCCTCTTTGAAAGGTACTGCCAGGTTGCCATTGAGACTTTGAGCATCAAAGGCCTAAGGTGGTCACCACGAGTCTTTAGGGGTTTAGGGTTTAGGGTTTGGGGTTTGGGGTTTAGGGTTTGGGGTTTAGGGTTTGCGGTTTAGGGTTTGGGGTTTAGGGTTTGAGGTTTCGGGTTTAGGGTTTGGGGTTTCGGGTTTAGGGTTTGGGGTTTCGGGTTTGGGGTTTAGGGTTTGGAGTTTAGGGTGGTTTAAATTTAGGGTTGATAGGGTTGATGAGGTGCAGAAGGTTTATCTATCGGATTGTTTAGGATTTATTGGGTTTTATTGCGTTTAGGGTCCACAGGCTTCCGGATTTGGGGTTCAGTGTTTACGGCCCTAATCCCTACACCCTAAACCCTAAACCCTAAACCCCAAACCCGAAACCCTAAAGGGTTTTTAGAGCTTATGGGATGTCGGGGTTTTTAGGGGTCCAGGGCTTCAGGCTTTGGAGTGTTTTACAGGTTTTTTGGATCCTGGTCTTCATTACGGTGGAGGAGCCGGTTCTCCAGAAAAACTAGGAATGAACAACTGCGCTGTTTTTCTTATGTTGACCTTTGGCATGGGGCTTATCACGGGATCCCGACCCACCCCAAGAACGGCGAAGAAGCAAGCTCCTTGTGCAGGCCTCAATCCCTCAACTCCTGAATCCCTCAACCCTAACTTTCCCAGGCTCTTAAGGCCAGCTTCTGTGGATTTATCTCACCTCACCATGCATGACTTTAGGGGGTTGGGCTGTGTATAGGGTTTAGGGTTTATAGGGTTAATCAGGGGTTATAGAAGCTTTAAGTTCTCTTATTATGTTGGTATAAACTGCTATATTCGTATATGATTCCATTGTACTATATAATGTAAGGTATATTGTTATGCTGCGCTTTTTGAGCTAGCATTAAACAATGTTTTCTGATATGCTTCTTACATACTATTCTGATTGTACAATCATATTATGGCATTGTTGCATAAGTAAATTTCTACAGTATTAACTTGTCACATTCTTGTACATATGATTCTTATTGCGACTATATTACTAAAAACCAAGAAGAAGTATTTGTTTATGCAAGTGCTATTCATAAAGGAAGAGTATATGAATATTACATCGAACATTCGTACTCATTTCTTATTGGTATGTCTTTGGTTCTTGGCATCCCCACGCGATGGCCGTTGACCACCTCGTAGAGGACGCAGCCGAGGCCCCAAACGTCACCTGATAGGCTCTGTTCCTCTGGTCTAGGGGGTGTTTAGGGCGATTTTCGGGCCCTAAACCCTAGCCCTAAACCCCAAACCCTAAACCCGAAACCCTAAACCCTAAACCCCAAACCCTAAACCCTAAACCCTAAACTGGGGGTTTTGGGGATGGGAGGCTTTGGGGGTTTCAGGGCTTTGGGCTTAGGGCTCTGGGGCCTTGCCCTTCAAGACGCTCATGGGCGTGCTGGCAACCTCCTTGGGCTTAGGGCCTAGGGCTTCTAGGGTATAGGGTTTAGGGTTTAGGGTTTAGGGCAACTGCACCCAAAGTGCAGCAGCTGGGTTTAGGGTTCGGGGTCCCAAAGCCCCGTCGTAGCCTAAGCCGCTCGCAAGCCTGTTCTCCAAGCGACACCTCCTTCAACGAAGAACGTAAACTAAAAACCCTAAACCCTAAACCCTAAACCCTAAAAAAGGCCCTAAACCCCCAGAGCCGGCTGGGGGAGTGTCTGAGCGCCGCGCTTTTGTAGCTGTAGGGGTGGCTGTTGATGAGCTCCTTTTTGGGGTGTTTGTGAGGGGTTAGGGCTTTAGGGTTTAGGGTTTAGGGTTCGGGGATTGGGGCTTTAGGGGTTTAAGGTTTCTGAGAGTTTTTAACATTTGTGGGCTATTAGTTTTCCTGATCGAACTGCTAAGAAGATGAAGCGAACCGATCGAGGGGTCGAGGGCGTTCACAGCATTGTAGCAAGCTCTGAGAAGCTCTGCTTGTGGAGGTTGGGGTCTAGGGTTTTTTGTACGTAGTGATTAGGGATGATGGCTAAATGGGTATATCCCAAACAGGGGTACGCCTTTTATGGCCCAAACAGAATAGAATCCCCATTATTGGATCCCCAAAAAGGTACCCCTGTTTTCGGAAATCCCCAAGTAGGTTTTAGGGCTGGGAGGCCTAACAAAGACGACATTGCTTCTGACTGACTCCGGCTGCTCTTCATGACGTGCCCTCTTGCGAACTCCGCAAGTTGGCATGCGATGTTTCCTTATTGTCATGGTGAGCATCCTAATTCCTTTCACTTGTGCATGAGCATATGATATGGTGTATGTTTTTCATATGTACGTACACAACATATCAGATCGCATCATTTCATAGCATTTCGTCTTACGAACCGGTGTCCTGTCTAATCCGTTCCCCCTAATATTAATACCCCCCCCCCCTAATATAAATCCCCCCGGCCCCAAATACCGATCCCGTGTCTGTCCCTATTAAAACCCCTACAGAGACAGGGGGGGGGGGGGGGGGGGTTAGGGGGGGTTAGGGGGGGGGAAGGGCTGGAAAATTAAACCCTAAAACCCTCCACCCTAAACCTAAGTAAACCCTGACCCTGACCCCTCTCACAAGGCTGCAAGGCTCTGACTGTTTTTGCCGGACTGTCTGTTCCGTGCTTGTGTCTGCCTGGCTTTCAGTCAGGCCTGCACTGGGCGGCCTGACTGGCAGCCTTCTCTGAACAGCTCGGCTGGGTCAGGCTTAAGCCCAGGCTTGGCTGCTGAGCCAGCATGCTACAATAAGGACGGGCTGGTTCCTCGGACAAACGATAGAACCCCCCCTAATATGAAAAACCCTTCGGGGGTTTTTATACAAGGGGGGGGGGCCTTTTATATTAGGGGGAAGGGATTACTGTCCACGTTCTGAATGCTTCAAAGGGCGCAGGGCACAATGGAAGACTGCCCTGAAGCATAGCCGAAGCACTCACGGGAGCAACCATCGCTGCTTTCAGACCTACCTGACCCCGAACAAGAATCCCTGCCTTTCGTTTTCTGTCCGGGGGGGCTGAACACACAAACCCTAAATGCCTAAACCCTAAACCCTAAACCCTAAACCCTAAACCCTAAACCCTAAACCCTAAACCCTAAACCCTAAACCCTAAGACCCCGACGGCATACCGCAACCCCCAACTCCCTCCTGCACTGATCCTGCGGTGTACCTCAACCAAGGAAGATTCCCAAACTTGACACCAAGAAATCCTACTTTGTATGGGTTTAGGTTTTAGGGTTTAGGGTTTAGGGTTTTTCGGTTAAGAATCTAGGGTACATTCCTGGACCATCGAATTCTGTCTTCCGAGCCACCCTCCACACTAAACCCCCAAACCCCTGGGGCTGCGACTGGGGACATGTAGAACGGAGTCCCGATCTGCCTAGGAGGAGAGGTGCTGGGCGCTTCGCGGGGCGGAGTCTGAGTGTGTATGCCAAGATCATTCGTAGAGGGGTTGAAGTCCCGAGGCTGACAACGCTTACTTGGAGCTTCACGTTAAGGGTTTGAGGGTTTGAGGGTTTGAGAGCTTGAGAGTTTCAGGGTTTGAGGGCTTGAGGGTTTGAGGGCTTGAGGGTTTGAGGGTTTAGGGTTCTAAATGACCGAACTTGGGTTGTTCGTAGAATCCCTCTTCTTGTCACCTACTTACCTAAGTCCTTCCTTTCCTAATAACTCCTAACCTACTAAAAAACCGGTGAGATAGTTTCGGGGCGATTCAGATCTTCTAACCCCTTGCCTAAAACTGTTCTGGGTAGTGTCGCGGGCTCACGGTTTAGGGTTTAGGGTTTAGGCTTTGGGTTTTTGCTGCGTCTTGCTTTGCTTGGTGGTCGTGATTTTCAGACTCCCCCACATGTCGGCAGGACCCGAATCGCTAAAATTGGAGTCCTGAGACCCTCAGTAGTGCAAACCCCTAAACCCTAAAATGCCCCAAGCCGGGGGCACCTGAAACCCTAAACCCTAAACCATAAACCCTGAATCCTAAAACCTAACACCTAAACCCTAAACCCTAAACCCTTCGACACGCGCGAGCTTGGCAGCCAACGTCTTGGCCAGGTCTGCCGTTGATGTCAAGACCTGATACCCATGGGTTTCCCTACCCCCCCCCCCCCCCCCCTCTATTCTAACCCACCCCAGGTTCCCCGCTTGTAAATAACCTTGGTTCAGGGTTTAGGGTTTAGGCTATAGGGTTTCAGGTTCAGGGTTTAGGGTTTAAGGCTTAGGGTTAAGGTTTCAAGGTTATCCCTAAGTAGCCCTAATTATGGGCGCAGTAGGGCGGTTGCAGGTCCAAGAGCTCTTGGGGGAGTCTACCAGCTCGTGGCTTGAGTGTTTATAGGGTTTGGGTTTGGGTTTCGGGTTTAGGGTTTGGGGTTTGGGGTTTAGGGTTTAGGGTTTAGGGTTAGGGGTTAAGGTTTTTGGGGGGTTTAGTGGTTTCGGGGTTAAGGTTTAGGTGTTGGGAGCTTCAGGCGTTTAGGGGGCTTAGGCATGAAGGGTTAGGGGTTGGCGGGCTTAGGGTGGGGGTTTTCGGGGGCAGGTTGCGATGTAGGGTGGCACGCTTCAGGCTCTACAATAGCGCACCCCCGAAATCCTGGAATGCAAACGCACAATCCTCTTCAGCCAAGCGGCCCGTACAAGCAGCTAATTAGATGCGTTGGGGTTTAGGGGTTAGTGTTTAGGGTTCAGTAGGGTTCAGGCGCCCTAAGCCCTACACTAAACCGTAAACCCTCCTAAGCCCGAATCAAACCGTTCGAAGCCCCGAAAACCTCAAATAAGCCCTGAATAGGGCTTAGGAACCTTATTTAGTCCGTTAGGGGGTGAGATAGGGGGATATGAGGTACCTATGTTCTGCTGAGAAGCAGTAAGCCGTATCGAATTCTATCAGGGAGCTGCTCAGCAACTGTCTCCTGGCCCTCAACCCGAGGCCCTTGAACCCTGCACCCTTATACTGGGGTTCACGAGTACTTATCAAAACCGAAGCCTTCAATACCCTAAACCCTAAACCCTCAATACCCCAAACCAGTGAACCTTGAGCTCCAGAAGTGTCAAGCCTACTCCTCAACTCTCCCTGACCCTAAACCCTAAAACCTAAATCCCAAACCCGAAACCCTCAACCCCAAACCTAAAAAGCTGCGAAAACCCCCGGAGTCTACAGGGCTACTGTAGACGGCTTGAAGCCTAAAGTTTAGGGTTTAGGGTACGGGGCGTCCCCCCCCCCCCCCCTCCCCAACCCCCGTCCAAAAAAAAAGAGACAAGTACCTCCGCCTGGAAGCCTCGGTTTTGACGTAGTGAGTCTACTGAGTAGCCCCTCAAACACCCCATTGTAGTCCCCATATCCCACTTTTACTAACCGACTGACTGAGCCAAAAAGGCTTCCAACTATAGGATTTAGGGTTCAGGGTTTACAAGGGTTTGGGGTTCAGGGTGCAGGTTTAGGGTTTAGGGTTTAGGGTTTAGGGTTTAGGGTTTAGGGTTCAGGGTTTAGGGTTTCGGGGGCTTAGGGCTCCACCTTGGCGATGCCGAAGTCGCCGAGCTTCGCCGCCAGGATGTTCTGCTGCCTGTGCGGCGTCGGGCGCTTAGCTTTAGTAGGGGATCCGAAGTATGGGGCCCTTAATTTGGGTCCCTTGTTCTGTTACCTTTTTCTACACAAAACACAATAAGGGCCCATACTAGGGGGGCCCATACTTCGAATCCCTGGGTAGCGGCTGTAGGGAGTCAGGGCTTCTTAATTAGGGTTGTAAGGGATGTTAGAGGGCGCTAAAATTCCTTGAGGGGGTTTTAGGCGTTAAAGGTTTTAGGGCGTTTCGGGTTTAGGGTTTCCGCAGATAGACGTAACTTTCAACAAGCCCTTGAACTGTTTGCAACCAACAGTTGCCAATAGGGAAGGTTGAAATGACCCCGTGACCCCCAATCGCGACCCACTTGGAGGTTCGCGGTACCTCCTCACCAATCCTAACTGCACTTATAACCCACTCATAAGCCCCTGAAGTGCCCTAATATGGTTGTAAGTGCAGTTACAAGTACACTCAAGATCGGTTAACAAGTACCATGAACCACCAAGCAAGAGATACTACAGGGGCCTTAATATTTAGAACTGTAGGTATACAGGGACCATGAGCCAAACCGATTGGTAACTACTCCAACCCCTATGGTAGGTGGATTGCCTAACCCCTAAAAAACCCTAAACCCTAAACCCTAAACCCTAAACCCTAAACCCTAAACCCATCGCCTGTTGCCAGTCAAGAAGATGTTCTGCGTCTTCAAATCTCGATGCCTGGGCTCCACTTGCTGGCAGCACCCTAAACCCTAAACCCTAAACCCTAAATAAACCCTAAACCCTAAACCCTAAACCCTAAACCCTAAACCCTAAACCCTAAACCCTTCCCAGGAAGGGTAAGGGCACTGTTGGAGTTGAGGGGTCTGTGTGCGGGGTATGCGGGCGAAGCACCCACCTGAAAATGTCCTAGACTCTCGCCAGTCTCCTCTTAACTGCAAACCTGAACCCCCCCGAGCACCCAAGGCGCAGGATCTTCTGCTGGTGGAGGGACTGGAGGGCCTGATGCCAGAACAAAATTACCACTTCGAACACACCCACCCACCCTCTCTTTGCGGCCCAACTGCAAGGACTTAAAGGTGCAGTGCTGGGCAAGGAGCGCATTGCTGCTGTTTCCCATGCTGCTTCAGAGTTTTCTGCTCTGATGGAACAAGTTTCGAGAGCCTGGTTAGGGTTTATAGGGCAGCACGCCGGGTTGTTTATTTCATGTGCGGTGGAAGAAGATAAACCCTAAACCCTAAACCCTATAAACCCTAAACCCTAAACCCTAAACCCTAAACCCTAAACCCTTCATTCCATCCACTGCTTTGGGGCTGGGCCGTGTTGATGGGGTTCAGGGAAGCTGGGGTTCTGGGTTGGACTGGCTTTACGGGTCTTCTTGCGTCGGATGCTTCAGCTCAAGGCTCGGAAGTCTATAATGCCTCTTGAAAATCGCAAATGAAATGTGAAATGAGAAGTTCGTAAGAGCCCTCTAGTTAGTTGAGCTCGCCTGCTAGATGCTTCAAGTTGAGCTCCAGAGCTCTGGCAGGCCCCAATTTCCTTGGCAAACCCGGGACGGTTTGGGGTTTAGGGTTTAGCGTTAGGGCCCCAAAACCTTGAACCCCCACTACAAGCCAAGACCCTGCCCTAAACCCTAAACCCAAACACCCTAACCCCACAAGTTACAACCCTAAACCCTAAACCCTAAACCCTAAACCCTAAACCCCCCCGTCCCCGGAGCGCGCCCAGACGATGTGCGTGAACCACTCGAGAAGTCTGCCTTCTTCCGGGGCCGAGTTCCTTAGCCATTCGGGGCGTTTTCTAGGTAGGTTTTAGGGTTTGGGTTTAGGGTTTAGGGGTAGGGTTTAGGGTTTAGGGTTTAGGGTTTAGGGTTTGGGGTTTTTGGGGTTTGGGGTTTGGGGTTTTGGGTTTCGGGTTTCGGGTTTAGGGGTGATCTGGGCGGACATCCTGTTGTAACTTAAGATACCCATACAAAGATGGGCAGGCAGCCGCAAGCTAGTTGGGTAAACTCCCCCTTCGTGTAGGTATCGGTCTACTCTGGGTAGAAGGCTGTATAGAGTTCAGGGTCCAAGCACCCCCAAAAGACCCTGAACCCCGAAAAGAGCCCTGAGATGTTTAGGACTTAGGGGACCATTTTTTCAGGGCAGTTCAGGGGGGTTAGGGTTGCCGGCTTAGGAGGGGTGGGTGGGGGTCATGGACCTAAATCAGCCTAAGCTTGAACTCTGAAGCCGCACAGTGCGTCCCTAAGCCTTGCCTTTATCGGCTTAGAGTCCTAGAGCCCGGAACAGTGACTCGGGAGGCATAGAGGGGGAAGGGGGGGAGGGGAACATGTGGCTCAACAGTTTGATGGTTTCAGCCTTATGGAAAGGATCCAGAGAGAGCTGAATGCCCCTCTGCGGCTTCACTCAGAATCGGCGAGCCTTTATGTAGTGTAAGGTACACTCCTTCGTGTAGCTTTTATCTGTTGTGGTTTCTGGCAAGAAAGAAACGTCTGGGCGCAGGGCGTGCGACGGACCTCTTGCAAGTAGGTGAAGATGTCACCGTGCCTCTGCCAGCTTCTAAAGTTCGAAGTGAAGCAGCATCCACTCTCTGGGTTGCTTGGGTTTCTCATATTCCTGAACCTCAAGCCCTAAACCCTGCATTTCGAGCTTCGAACTTTGTACCCTAAACCCTAAACCCGAAACCCTAAACACTAAACCCTCAACCCTAAATGGGAAGTAGGGCAGGGGCTTTATGGTTTTCAAGGAGGGGCTCTACCTTGGAGCCCTTTGGCTGTACCCTTGGGCCTGGGGACCCCGTTTGAAGATTTGTTTAAGGGGATATGTAGGGTTTAGGGTTTAGGGTTTAGGGTTCAGGGTTCAGGGTTTAGGGTTTAGGGTTTAGGGTTTCGGGTTTAGGGGTTCTGACATGGTCCCTTAGTATGGGCCCTTAAACGGACATATACCCCTTACATGCCCTATAAAAATGACCCCATACCTCAGAAACCTTTAAGGGAGGTAGGGGACCATATTAAGGGCCCCATGTAACTTCCCTTAGATATACGGGCCCTCTTTGGAGTTAATATTACGGGAAGCCTCTCAGGGTTTAGGGTTTAGGGTTTAGGGTTTGGGGTTTGGGGTTTGGGGTTTAGGGTTTGGGGTTTAGGTATGACATCGGGGTTGGAGGCCTGAGGTGCATGGTTTTGGATTTGAGGTTTGAGGCTCCCAAACCCTGACCCATGAGCCTAAGCCCTACCCCCAAACCCCCCCAAACCCCCAAACCTCTAAACCCCTAAACCCCTACACCCCTAAACCCCTACACCCCTAAACCCCTAAAGCCTAAACCCCTGAAGCCTAAACCAAGCCCCTAAACACCTAAACCCGAAACCCAGGGGACTGTAGGTTCGTAAGTGCCTGAAACTTTATACGTAAACCTTGAACGCATCTTCGGGTAGTTACATTCTCCCTTAGTATGGGCCATCTATGAAAAGGGTACGTCCATACATCAGAACCCTTTCGAGGAGGCTAGGGACCACGTGAAGGGGTAGCAGGAGCGATCCCTAATTAGAAGGGACCCTTAATCATACTCCCCTATATAACCCCTAGAATATACCTTATAATAGTCCTTATATACCGAAGGCCCCTTGTAAGTCCTCTCCTTTAGTTCTTGATATACAACTACCCTAAGAATCCAAAGGGCACCACAACCCTGAGGCCCAAGTCCTATATGCGCCCCACAAACCTTGGAATTCCCAATCCCCCAACACACCAACCGCCTAAACCCTAAACCCAAAACCCAAAACCCGAAACCCTAAACCCCCCAGGGAAGCGGCTCGCAGTACTCCATGAGGATGCAGAGGTGGCCTGTGCGGTCAATGAAGGAGTCCCGGTATGCCTCGGCTCCCGCAGACAGCAGGGTTGGTTTGGGGTTTAGGGTTTAGGGTTTAGGGTTTAGGGTTTGGGGTTTAGGGTTTAGGGTTTAGGGTTTAGGGTTTAGGGTTTAGGGTTTCGGGATTCAGGGTTCGGACGCGCAGGGCTTAGGGCTCTCGGACCTGGGGTGCAGGATTTAGGGCCTCAGGTTGAAGGATGAGGGTTGAGATGTTCCCCCTTATACTAGCAGTCCTTACTAGGGTTTAGGGTTTAGGGTTTAGGGTTTAGGGTGTAGGGTGTAGGGTTTAGGGTTTAGGGTTTAGGGTGTAGGGTTTAGGGTTTAGGGTTGGGATGTTCCCCCTTATGCTAACAGTCCTTAATAAGGATTCTAATCGGGGGTGACCCTAAACCAACTCCCTGTAAAGGACTGTTCGTGTAAGGAAAAAACATCCCAAGATGAAGATTCAAGTCGGTCCAGGCTTCAGGATTTCGGGTTTAGGGTTGCAGGATTTTGGGGGTTCAGGCGGACTAGGGTTTAGGGTTTAGGGTTTAGGGTTTAGGGTTTAGGGTTTAGGGTTTAGGGTTTAGGGTTTAGGCTGTCAGCTCGTAAGCCTAAACCCTTGCGGTTTAGACCCTGAACCCTGGCGTAGGACTTCGGCGGCAAGTGCAGGACCATTCCTTGAGTTCAACGGCGCTTCATTCAGAGACAACCCTGGCCCTCAGAAGGCCTTACTACCCTACCTAAGCTGCCCAGTAACCTAGGCTTAAAAAGGGTGCCCTTTTTTTGCTTAAAGGGGTTTGCAAGGGAACCTAAACCCCCCAAAAAGGGAATAAGGGTACTACTGGGCATCCTAGCTACTTGTGAGGGGGTTCGGGCTTGTTGTGGGCAGAGCTTAGGGACTCCAGTGTAGTTTTTAGAGTTAGGGGTTTCTTGTCTAAGCTTGTCGGGTTTAAGAGTTTGGGGGGGGCGGGGGGGGGAGGGGGTTTTAGATTAACTGCGGACCAGCCCAAACTCCAAACCCTAAACCCCGCTTCACTAGCAGACCGAGGAGCAACGATGTTCGGGTGCTGCATCGTTCGCAGCCTGAGTCGTCTAGACCCAAGAGCAACCCAGGAATAAAACGGGTTTAGGGTTGAGGGTTTAGGGTTTAGGGTTTCGGGCGACCCAAGAGCAACCTAGGAATAACAAGGGTGCCCTTCTTAGTTGAAAGGGGCTTATGAGGGGAACCTAAGTCCCTCAAGAAGGGGAACAAGGGCCTACTCAGGGTCCTAGCTGCTCTCTTGTATCTACTTTGACTTTGGGCTCAGGGGCTCCTGCACTCTGATCAGACATAGCCAACAAACCCAACCCCCCTTAACCCTTACTCCTTAGCCCTAAACTCCCTAAACTCTGAACCCTATATGATAACATAGCAAAGTAAATTACACCAGCCTGGGGTGGAGTTGAGAGCTCCTCAAAGCCCTCTACTTTGCACCCAAGACTTGCAGGTCGGAGGTATAGGGTATACAGGGCTTCAGGGTTTAGGGCTTTTGGGAGTTTTGGGGTAAAGGGGCCCTAGGCCCGAAACGACCCTAGCACCAGGGTATACAGGGCTTGAGGGTTTAGGGTTTTGGGTTTAGGGTGCGGGGCAGGCCCGGAACGACCCCAAAGCCCGCAGGCGTCACCGAGGTTCTGGCAGTTGCACCTGCAACATAGAGCTGAAGGAGGGGGGGGGGGGGGGGGGGGGGGGGGGGGGGGATGGTGGGGGAGGCAGGAAGGGGTCGAGAGGTTTTCGGCATCTGCTGTGGGATTGTAAGGTTTGTGGTTCAGGGGTCCAGGGGTCCAGGGTTTAGGGTTCTTTAGGGTTTTGAGTTGAGGGCTTATGTAAAATTATTTCAACCATTCGAAGTTGCAATTGGTTGCAAGGTCCCTTTCCGCGCTCACCGTTGTGAAGATTGATTGGGTGCCCCAGCTGGAACCCGCAGCCTCTTACCAGTAGTATCCGTCTGATTCGCTGCCCTAAACCCCCCAAAACAAACCCCAAACCCTAAATTTGCTGCGGAAGACTCCGCCAATATCGCTCTCCATGTCAGGAGACTGCAGGCATCATGGCAAATCATTGTTTAAAACGTCGGGTTCCGAGCTTTGGGATGAACATTTAGAGCTCCGAGTTTTGGGTTTTGGGGTTTATAGAGGCCAGAATCGACCTGGCCTTGCTTTTCTCAGGGGCATGAACGCAAGAGGGTTCTGGATTTAGGGTTTAGGGCTGAACCGTTCAGGGTTCATATGGCTTTGGGGATATTTGGGCTTGCCCAAACCCTAAACCATGAACCCTAAGCCCTGAACCCTAACCCAAAACTCTAAACCCTAAACCCTAAACCCTAAACCCTAAACCCTAAACCCATGCCTCCAGCTCCATCTGCTGCCTGCCATCATCTGAAGCCTCAGAGGTGTCGTGCATATTTTCCGGATGTTCCACCTTATACTATCAGTCCTTAACTAGGCCCGGGAGTAGCCTAGGAATAAAAAGGGTACTGTACCCTTTTTGGTCTTAAGGGGATTATAAGGGAACCCCAACCCTAAAAAAAGGAAAAAAAGGGCCTACTCCCGGTCCTAGTTCATCAGGATTATGAGTCCACCCCCCCAATCCCTATGGACTGCTAGCATAAGGGGGAACATCCCCGTGCATGGTGTTTGTCTCGCGGCGATTACACCGTCTGTTCTTTTTTTTTGGGGGGGGGGGGGGGGGGGAGGAGAAGGCGGGAAGGGGTGGGGTGTTCCGGTTTAGGGGGTGTAGGGGTTAACTACCCAGAAACACTGGGCTTCCGAGTTTTTAAGAGGAACCAACGACTTAAAGTGCAGAGGCCCTAAACCCTAAACCCTAAACCCTAAACCCTAAACCCTAAACCCTAAACCCTAAACCCTCAACCCTTCAACCTTCCGGTGCAAAGGCCACAGAAGAGCCAGAAGATCGAAAGGGTCAGGCCGAGTGCAAGTCGATGCTCTTCATCACGAACTCGCGGTTCTCCTGGCGGTGGATCCTACTACGGCCTCTCTAGATTATGGGTTTAGGGTTTAGGGTTTAGGGTTTAGGGTTTAGGGTTTAGAGTTTAGGGTTTAGGGATATTCCGTAAAGTGGGCCAGGGTAATCATGAGCAAAGATACGATATTATGATATTACGATGTACCTTGAAGGTCATGTGCGGGCTTAAGCTTAGTTGCTGAGTTCAGCCCCTAAAGAGTGTACACTTTCAGTTTTACAGGGGATTATAGTCTCCCAGAAAGTGTAAAGTAAGTAGGCTTTAACAATGGGCTTCCAGGGGTTAACAGTTTCGGATGTAGGCATGTAGGCTTCGGGGCTTACAAAACCCTTCACCCTAAACCCTAAACCCTAAACCCTTCACCCTAAACCCTAAACCCTAAACAAGCGTATTTACCCCATCTTGAGTTCGAGGCCCTGACGTGGGGCACTTGGGAACTTCGCGGAACCGTCTCGTTGTCCCCAACATCTATTTAGGGTTTAGGGTTTAGGGTCTAGGGTCTAGGGTTTAGGGTTCAGGGTTTAGGGCTTAGGGGACTCATCAGGTGACGAGACGAGGCACCCTTGAATCCCAAAACTCGAATGAAACCCTAAACCCTATTCTTAAGGTTCAGGGTTTAGGGTTTAGGGTTTAGGGTTTAGGATTTAGGGTTTAGGGTTTAGGGTCAACCCTAAACCCTAAACCCCAAACCCTAAACCCTAAGCAACAGCCGAGACGCCCAAGTCTCAAAAACCGCCTCGCCCCTGACACTCCGTGCCTCCTTGTGGAGAACAAGAAAGACCTGACAAGGTTTGAGGTTTAATTAGGGTTTAGGGTTTGGGGTTTAGGGGTTGAGGTTTGGGGTTTAGGGTTTGGGGTTTTAGGATTTAGGGCTTGGTGGCTTAGGGTTTTAGGGTCCTGGATCATTCCTGGAAGATTCTCACAGTCACGACGTCTGGGCCTCCTGGTATCGGCTGCATCCAGGGCAAAAAAAAACTCAAAAACAGCAGGCAGCCACACTACCCAACGACCTTCCCGCGCGCACCTGACCAAAGGAGCCGCTGCCAATCGAGCGCAGGAGTTGGTACTCGTCCTCTGCAGGCTGAAGCGTGTGCCCACAGAAGCTTGCAAGCTTACGAACCCTGAGCCCTGAAACCCGAAACAACAAGAAGCGAATTAATGAGTTTGGGGTTTAGGGCACTACGCACGTAGCTCCGCAAAGGAGTAATCTAAGGTAGACCTCTTGGACCCCGATCAAAGTACCCAGGGTGGCTTAAAACACCTCACAAACCCTACAAAAAAGTGTGGTGTTCGGCACAAAAAAACACCCCAAGATAAGAGCCCTTAGAGCTTCAGAGAAAAAACCAAAGCCCTGAATCGTAAAGCCTACACCTAAAACCTAAGCCCTAAATCCGAAAATTTATGAAACTCTGAAGAGACCCAAAGTCTGGAGAGTCCTCTCTGGCACCGGTGCCAGGCAGCTGCGTGTGCATTCCCTGTCTCATCTTACTCGCACATAGTTGGGAATGAAGGACACTAAGTACCCTGCAATCACTTAACAGACTGGGGGTTTAGGTTTAAGGTTTAGGGTTTAGGGTTTAAAAATCCCTTAAAGGGTATGTTTTGGAGGACAGCAGTGACATAAGGTACCTAATTCCTGCTTCCCAACTAAGAACCGGAGTTCAGAATGTCCTAAGGACGGAGGGGAGGCTGAGAGGGGGTGGGGGTCGTGAGGGATGGGGGAAAGGGGTAGGCTCGGAGGAGGGTTCAGGGTTTGGGTTGGTTGTTGCCCTAAACCCTAAACCCTAAACCCCTAAACCCCCCTTGTTGTAGCTGGCAGACGTTCAGGGTTCAGGGCTAATCAAGGCCCAGGTCTCCCCCTCCTAGCAAACTAGTTAGGAATAGGCCAGGCAGCCTTTTTGCTGCTTTGAAAAGAAAAGAGATCTTTCCTGTGTTCATTGGTGGGTTTAGGTTTTAGGGCTTAGGGCTTAGGGTTTAGGGTTTAGGGTTTAGAGTTTAGGGTTTAGGGTTTAGGTTTTAGGGCTTAGGGCTTAGGGCTCAGGGTTAGGGTTTAGGTTGAGGGTTTCTCTCTCTTCCCCCCCGTGGTCCGTGGTGATTTTAGGGTTAACGGGCAGGGTTTCGGGGGGATACCATGGCGGGGGCGGGGGGGGGGGGGGGGGGGGCGACTACTCGGAACGCGGGCGCATATGTGCCACTTACATACCCACAACCCTAGGGCCCAATCAGAACCCCTTAAAGACTGTAAGGGACCATATTAAGGGCCCATGGAACTGCCCTTAGACCCCAGCACCCACACAATCCTTATCAGCACCTGCCTCCCACATGGCTGTAGGCACCTCACGACGAAGGGCATGGGATGTCAAAACTCGGTGGGCTGGTTGAGGTATTGCGAGTTCAGAACGTTGGATTCTATCGGCAGGGGCTTCGGGTCTGGGTTGAGGGTTTAGGGTTTGGGTTTAGAGTTTAGGATTTAGGTTTTAGGGATTGGGGTTTGGGGCTTGGGGTTTAGAACTCCCTGAGCCCTAATTACCCTTTACCCTTTACCCTTTACCCTTTACCCTAAACGCTAGACAAATCCATGCGGATTTCGACCTCTCCCGAGCCGATATGCTTCCCTTCGGAGCTTCGGGCATAAACCACTTCCTGGTCGGTCTGTACAAAGCCTTCTGAATATCACTGGGGAAAGTCTGTGAGGGTAGGGCTTTCTTTCTTGCCAGCATCCCAAAGATGAGAGATCTACACATATATATATATATACATACATACACGCACTCACAAATATTTAGCAGATACCCATATTAGATATAGGGCACCATATATATATATATACATATATGTCTATGACAGCATTTATGCAATGTCTCAATGTCTAGGTTAACTTGGAGGGAAGCTGGAGGCCTGACGGAACTGAGGCAAGACTTCCGGTGGGAGGCTGTGGAGTCCCGGTCTTGAAACCCTAGGAAGAAGAAGGGGTTTAGGGTTTAGGGTTTAGGGTTTGGGGTTTAGGGTTTAGGGTTTAGGGTTTAGGGTGTAGGGTTTAGGGCTTCGGGTTTAGGGCTTGTTTGTGAGGGAACTTAAACCCTAAAAAAGGGAATAGGCTGGGTCCTAGAGCCTCTTGAAATTATTTTGCTCAAGGCCTAAGCCCGGTGACCTTTCAGTGTAAAGCCGCCAACGCTGAAACTCCACCCTGAACCCTGAACCCTAAGCCCTAAACCCTAAACCCTAAACCCTGAACCCTGAACCCTAAACCCTAAACCCTAAACCCTAAACCCTGAACCCTGAACCCTGAGCCCTAAGCCCGCTCGAAATCAGCAACTCCCTAAATCCCTAGCTCCCGAAATCCCTAACTCCCTAAATCCCTAAGAGCAAACCCTGAAACCTCAACCCAGATACTTAAAGCAAAGGGGACTCAAGAGAGACCCTTACAAGGGACCTTAGACCCTAAACCCTAAACCCTAAACCCTAAACCCTAAACCCTAAACCCTAAACCCTAAACCCTAAACCCTAAACAGCTAGGTACACAGGGGCAAAACAAGGTATAGACAGGGGTGATCTAGGGCAAGAAGCTTGAGGGTCCATTCTAGGGGTGCCTCCTTATACCCCTTCTAAACCCTAAACCCTAAACCCTAAACCCTAAACCCTAAACCCTAAACCCTAAACCCTAAACCCTAAACCCTAAACCCTAAACCCTGAACCCTGAACCCCAAATCCTAAACCTGAAACAACCCCCCCCCCTTAAAAACAGAGGGGAACACTAGCAGACCCAGTGGACATCTCAGCTATAAGGGCCGGGCCGGCCCGCGGCCCCATCCAGCGCCAGAGAGAGAAAAGCTACTGAGCAGCTATTGTTTAGGGTTTAGGGTTTAGGGTTTAGGGTTTCGTAGGATACTGCAATTTTGATGTGGAGTTTCAGAGGTTGTTCGGGCGGCTGAGAGTTTCGGGCTGAGGGTTGTGAGGGTCCAGGGATAAGGGTTTAGGGTTTAGGAGAGCGCGGGGTTCGGGGCTTTAGGGATTTCTTCGGGTATTTTAGGGCCGGGCTATGACTGAAGCCCCCAGGCAGTCATGCAGCACATGGCAGAGAGATCCGGCGCATGAAAGCTCAAGACCGTAGACTCAAGACGCTCAGCCCTCAAGCCCAAAACCCTGAAGGGTTTAGGGTTTAGGGTTTAGGGTTTAGGGTTTAGGGTTTAGGGTTTAGGGTTTAGGGTTTAGGGTTTAGGATGATTGAGGATGGAGGCTTAGGTCCCTAAACCTGAAAGACACGAGCCCTAAGTGCTGAGACCAGACCGGCCATGTTAGGCGTGCCGGGAAAGGCAAAGGACGAAGACAAGGAGGGCCGGGGGGAGGGGGAGGGGGGAGGGGATTTAGGGTTTAGGGTTTAGGGTTTAGGGTTTAGGGTTTAGGGTTTAGGGCCGGGTTTAGGGATTCTGTTGGGTTGTGATCTTTGCAGGGTTGAAGCCTTCTGCTTTTTAACAAGACCTAAGTTCCTCAAGCCTCTCCCAGTGTTCCACTAACCTTCCCTGATGTGCATTGGTGATTTGCTGGCTTTAGGTTCTAGGGCTTACGTACCAGAAACCAAAACCTAAACCCTAAACCCTAAACCCTAAGACTCTCCACGGCAAAGCTCCAAACCCGCAACTCAAAATTCCAGACCCGAAGCCCTAAACCATCACAAGAGCCATCTGGAACAGGCCTGAAAACCGACACGGGATCCGAAACCCCAGCACAAAACCCTCAACCCTCAACCCTAAACCCGAACTGGCTGCAGAACCCTCAACTTTAATCCTAAACCCTAAACCCCCAAACCCCTAAAACCCTAAACCCCGAAACCCGTAAAACCAAAAAACCCTAGACCCTAACCCCGAAACCGTAGACCCCTAAACGTTTTACGACTCGCAACGGCAAGACGCTGAACCCTAAACCCCAAACGCAAAACTGGCTGCAACTACTTCTTTTTCGAAACTGCCACCTCCTCCAAGGTCATAAGCGCGCCTAAGAGAAGTTTGACGCGCGGGGCCTCAGCAAGGGTTGGACCTACACCCCCTAAGCCCTAGCCTGCACAGGAACCTAGGATTCCAAAGTGTATGTTTTCTTTTGCTTAAAGGGGTATATAAGGGAACCCAAACCTCCTCCCCAAAGAAGGGAATCTGGGTACTACTGAGCATCCTAGACAGCCCTACACTACCGCAAGTTGTTCTTGTCAAATACACCTAGAGGTGTGCCCGGTATATTGTCTAAACCCTAAAGCCTGAAATCCCTCAAGCCCTAACTTCCAAAAGTCCCTACTGTAAACCCTAAACCCTAAGCCCTAAGCCCTAAGCCCTAAACCCTGAATCCTGAACCCTGAACCCTGAGCCCTAATTAAACCCTAAACCCTGAACCCTCCCAGCCCCCAGCCCCAAAGCATGCTCCTAGTCTCCACCGGTTTAGGGTTTAGGGTTTAGGGTTTAGGGTCTAAAAGGTGTTGGCCCTGAAAACACATTGGCCCCAAACAACTTTGGCTTACGGTTTAGAAGAACGAGTTTAGGGTTTGGGGTTTGGGGTTGAGGGTTTAGGGTTCAATGTGTAAACTCCCAAAACCCCTAAACCCTGAACTCCACTGGGGGATTCGTTGACTCCAGCGAGCATGGCGCCTTCATAGGCTTCAGTCGGAACCGGGGAACCCCCCCCCTCCCTCCACAACAAAGTACCCTGAACCCTAAACCCTGAATCATAACCCTAAGCTCTATAAGATGAACTAAAGAATGGCCCCACAAGCCCAAACGAACTTGTAAATAGGAGCTTACCGTGGACACGTGTCTTGGGTTTTAGGACTCGAGGGGTATAGTTTTTAGGGTTTAGGGTATTAGTGTTTCGGGTTTAGGGCGCAACTAGCTTTTGGGCTCTAGATTCAGGGTTTGGTAAATGGCGCGTCAGCCTGTTGCTAAGAACTTCAACACTGAACCCAGAACCCGAACAGGGCAACCTACCCTAAACCCTAAACCCTAAACCCTAAACCCCAAACCCCAAACCCTAAACCCCAAACCCCAAACCAAAGCCTTCTTAAAGCCCCGGACTCAAAGCACACCTACGCACAGGACAATACACAGCTTGGGATGTTCCCCCTTCTGCTAACAGTCCTTAATAGGGATTCTCGTGCCCCCTAGTATAATCCCTATCAAGGACTGCTAGTACAAGGGGGAATATCCCAATGCACAAACCCTAAACCCTAAACCCTAAACCCTGAAATTCAGTGCTGAACCCCTCCCAAAACTAAAGCCTTCAAACCTTCCAAGATTTTAAAGCAGCCTTTCGCCCTAAGAACCCCAAGCATGTTTTTTGCAGGCTCTCACTCTAAAATCCCTTGTAGGATGTGTAGGTAGCCTACAAAAAAGAGTAGGTTTGGGGTTCTTAAGGTAAACAAAAAAACCGACCACACACTCTCAACCCCTAAAAAGACCTGGAGCCCTCAACCCCCCCCCCCCCCCCCCCCCCCCTCCCCCCCCTAAACCCTAAACTCTAAACCCCAAACCCTAAACCCTAAACCCAAAAAAAAACTTGGGCCAGAAACGCCCTGAAGGAACCTAAACCCTAAACCCTAAACCCTAAACCTTAAACCTTAAATCCTAAACCCCAAACCCTAAACCCCCTAAACCCTAAACCCCCTGAACCCTAAACCCCCTAAACCCCCTAAACCCCCTAAACCCTAAACCCCAAACCCTAAACCCCCTAAACCCTAAACCCTAAGCCCTAAACCTCTCTTACATATATAGTTTAAATGTTGGGGACTTGCTGGGCAAGGTCGCCGTTTTACTGGGCAACGTCGCCGTTTTACTGGGCAACGTCGCCGTTTTACTGGGCAACGTCGCCGTTTTACTGGGCAAGGTCGCCGTTTTACCGGGCAAGGTCAGTTGGGTCAAAAAAATCGACCTTGCCCAGTAAAACGGCGACCTTGCCCAGTAAAACGGTGACCTTCGGGGCCGAAGGTAGCATTTGCAGGCTCTCACTCTAAAATCCCTTGTAGGATGTGTAGGTAGCCTACAAAAAAGAGTAGGTTTGGGGTTCTTAAGGTAAACAAAAAACTACATACTCTCAGCCCCAAAAAGACCTGGAGCTCTCAACCCCCCCCCCCCCCCCCCCCCCCCCCCCCCCCACCCTAAACCCTAAACCCTAAACCCAAAAAACAAAACTTGGGCCAGAAACGCCCTGAAGGAACTCAGAGCTGCCCAAACCCTAAACCCTAAACCCTAAACCCTAAACCCTAAACCCCAAACCCTAAACCCCAAACCCTAAACCCCCTAAACCCTAAAACCCCTGAACCCTAAACCCCCTAACCAAACCCTGA